CAGTGACTTCATTGATGTAGAGTTGAATGCAGACACCTTGTTTACAAACATTGACTTCATTGATGTTTACAAACAACGATGTGATATATAATACCATCTGTTTTATGTCACACAAATTTCAAGGCATGTTTCTAATTCTTTTTTAGGTGATGTGGTTATACAAAATGCAGCTAATAGTGGGTGTGGTCAGGCTGCTATACAGATAGCTGCAGCTAGGGGAATAAAAACTATCAATATAGTCAGACAACGGTAAGTAACAATTGTCCATGTATGTCATGTTGTTATACAGAATGCAAGCTAATAGTGGGTGTGGTCAGATGATGTAATAGTTTTGAATGAAATCTATCAGTACACTCGTGTGATGAGATAATTAATGTGAATAAAATTTTGTTGTTACACAGGTCAGATTTTGATGATGTTTGTCAACATCTCAAAGACCTTGGTGCTACAGAAGTTATCAGTGATTTCTCGGCTCAAAAAGGAGATATTAAACAGCTGTTAGAGGTGAGAAAACTCCAACAGATAATGAGATTTCTAAAATTCAGACAAATAAAAATGTGTGTCTTTCTGTTGAGTTTATTTAATGCCAAGAGTAGACAGTTGCTAATACACATTACTGCTGAATCTCTGCATCTTTCTCTCAAGCACTACCAAACATAAATGCTGTCAGTGTATTCAAAATAATTGTTCAGTTTGGTGTGAACATTGAAAATGTTATATGACATATTCATTGTCAGGTAGCAGGGAAATTGTCATGATGTGTCAAATGCTACACTCATGGTATTCATTTGTGGATGGATTGTGTTTACTTCAACTTGTTTTCAATCATCATTTGAGATTTATGAAAGGATTATTAATGTTTATTAAAAAAAAAACATTATTGCCTATTCATTTTAGCTCAATTATGCAAAAAAACAAGAACAGGGAATAGAAATATTTCTCAATATTCACTGTTGTGTTTTTATTTAAATGAAGAGCAGTTTGGACAGAATCACTGTTTGATCTTTAAATATTTGCGCTTGTTTTTAAGACCATGGCAAA